TACATTTGATAATGGATTAAGAAATCAAATAAATGTTTTTTAAAAAAAGGTTTGAGGTTGCTTTATGAATGAATGATAGCTCCATAAATAAGGTTTCAAACCCATCCTCTCTTCCTCAATACCCCTACAGTTGTCCCCTCTCTCTCTCACCGGGATTATCAACAGCTCCTCCCCACTGGTCTCCCAAACTCAATCCCTTCAGTCCACCCTCCCACTCGCAGCCAGAGTGCCCCTAATTTCCCTCAGGTGGGGTGGGATGTGGCCTGCTGGAGGCAGATTCGCCGACGGCAATAACTTATTTGCACAAGAAGCTGCTCGTTCCACTCCAGGGCCAAAATAAAGCACTATTGGGCAAGAATGAGAAATTCCTAGGGGAGCAGCCACTCAAAAACTGTGACCTAAGAATTCAGCTCACAGCTCACATAGGGTGAGAGACTGTTAGAAACGGGTTTCTGCTGAGGTCTTAGCAGCCACCCACCCAAGAAATCCTGAATCCTATCCAATCTCCCAGGAGCCAGGACTTTTATCAACCAGACCTCAGAGCCTATGTCGGTATCTTCCTCTTCTGGGTGGGATTTTGTCTTTCTGGGGGGATTTTATCTGGTACATTCCTCCTAAGCCGCCCATGTACCCTCTCCATTTTCCACAGACTTTCTGCACTGACCACCTGCCTCCCCTCAACGGCTGGACTCACAGGGGATCTGAGCTCACAGCCACCGCCCCCTAGCGATGCTGCAAGGGTGGGCTGTGTGCTCATGCTTGCTTTCCTTCCTGATTTATACAGTTTCCGGGAGGCAGTTTCCGAGAAACAATTCAGATTCAGGTGGCCTCTTGGAATTTCAAATTCACTCTTCAAGGATAGTTTTGCTGGATGTAGACTCTAGGGTGACAGTTACAGTCTTTCAGCACACTGAAGATAACTTCTTGTACTTTTGTTGAGAAGTCAGTTCTCTGATAGCCATTCTTAGAAATTAATCTTTTTTCTCTAGCTACTTTAATAATTCATCTTTGGTTTAATTACATTTTACTATGATGTGTTTACATATAGTTTTCTCTTTATTAATTCTCCTCAGGATTTACTGGTCTCTTGAATCCATGAATTGGTCTATTCCAATGGTTTTGAAAAACATCTCAGCCATTATCTCTTCAAATTCTTACTCAGCCTCTCTCCTCTCCTTCTACAACTCCAAATAAATACACGTTAGGCTTTCCAGCCATGCCCTCTGTATCTCTTACCTTCTATACTTTCCATATTCCTATCTCTCCATGTTTTATCTCCTTCCAACCCTTCTTCCAGTTCACTCTTCTCTTTAGCTGTGTTTAATTTGTTAAACCTGTCCATTGAACTTTTAATTTGGTAATCATATTTCTCAATTCCAGAAGTGCTATGTGATCATTTTTCAAATCTCTTATGAAAAATTGTAGTTTCCTATTCCGCTGCAGACATTCTCAAGCTTCTCTTTTTCATATTTCTTCATAGGTAGTAAGGATAATAGTTTTGCAGCATGTGCCAAAGAATTACAAAAGCTCAACATTTTGCAGGCCAGTTTCTATTATCTGCTATTTCTGTTTGTTCTCACTTAAGGAGTCCTGAATGTGTGATAACCTTTGACTGTGTGCAGGTCTTTTTATTTGAAAATACAGATATATTTGCAGGAACAATCTGAGTTTTGTAACTTCCTCCAGAAAAGACTTTGTTTTGCTTCTCCCTAGCACTTTGAGTACAGAAGTGCCATCACTGAGGTTCACACAACGCTGGTCCTCCTGGGTGACGTAAACCTAGACTGCAAGACCGAGTGATGGCTGTTTCGCTTCAGCTTTGCTCTGATGGTCACTCCTTTGGGTCTCAGAAAGTTCACGGGCATTTCTTAGACTCCCTATCCTGAGTAAGCTAAGGTTTGACCCATTCTCTCCATGAGGTTGTCAAAGCTACAACCTACTTTGGGACTACTTCTTCTGGCTTAGCAAATGCCCTGGGAACAACAGAGGCTTCTGGTGCTGGGCTCGTCTCTCTGGGTTCCAGCATCCTCCTGGAATCTGGCTCAGGAAGTTTTATTTTCTTGTTAGCAGTTCAATGCTTTCAAGAAATTTGTTTTCTTTTTTCTTTCTTTCTCTTTCTTTCCTTTCATTTTCTCTTTCTTTCTTACTTTTTTTCTTCCTTCCTTTTTTTTCTGTCTGTTTACTGGCTTTAAAAAAAATCTTAGCTGGGGTTTTAGGTGTCTGCAGTGGGAACATGGTTGGAATGACCCAGCCCACCACCATGGGAAGTGGAAGCTCCTCCTCTCTCACCTTTTCCTTTAATTCCAAATTAAGGGGCTCAAGTCTCCATCTCCCATTCCATGGGAAATTCTACAATTTCTGCCCCCAAGATTACGAGGGATTCCCAGGGGTTTCTCATGAGCCAACTTAGCTCTCTCTCGAGATGGGTCAACAGCTCCCCCCCCCCCCCCGCCGCATACACTCTCTCGGCCCATGACCATCCTCCTTGCCACTTGGCCTCCATTACAGACACAACTTCTTTCTTCACTCACAGACCTTCCTGTCCACGTAACCGATTTTTACCTTTTAAAGGTTTAGCGGTAACAGAGAGGGGGTACAGCACTACTCAAGATAGAAAACTACTTAAAAGAGCTTTTCAGAAGTCCTTTAGCCCTTCCTGCCCACTAGAAAACAAGACAGTGACACTGTCCCTCTTTTGATCCCCCCCACCCCTCACTGTGCTTCATCTGTCCCCCAAGGCCTTGTCCTCTGGCATCTCTCCATTCTTTTCTGACTCCTGGGCACGTATCCTTACAACGCTACTGCTGGAACTCTAAATTTCCTTTAACATTACTTTGCAGAGCAATTTAGCTCTTTCCTAAACTATTCCCGTCCGGGCCATGCCCACAAAACCTCACCTTTCTTAATCAACAAGTCCATGAAAGTGTGTTCCTTCACCGAAGTGCCTAAAAGTTCTGAAATAAATGCTGTCTTTCCCCTAAAACGCAGAAATGAGGCAGTGGTTTTTTTAAAAAGCCATTTTTTCTTCCTAGTATATCCTGCTCTTAATAAAATCTTTACAGTCCCTGCAAAGTTCCAAGCCCACAAATTCCTTCTCCAAGAGATGAACGAAGAAATAGGGGAGGGGGAGCTTCATGGGCTGAGGCCTGTAGACGATTCTCTCTAAGAGCTACTGAGGGGTGATGGGCCCCCAGGCAGAGAGCCCCAACCCTGTCAACTCTATATACTTTCTGCTTGAAAAGCCTAGGTTTTATTTCGGGCCATCACAGAAATTCTGTAAGGTTTCATTAGAAGAACTGTTACAAACAGGTTACACAGTTTAACCTGTTAGGAAAAAGAATCTTCTCTGTTGTGAAGAACTGATCATTTAAAGAAAAAACTGCAGGATGAGAATGCCTTCCTCCAAAGCTGCACTGAAAATAAAAACGTGATTTACCAAAAAGTGCAGATTTGGTTGGGATCCCTCTGGTTGTTGCTGCTGCTCTTTTAAACCATCATGCAGCAAATCTGCAAAGTGCTTCTTTCTAAACCACAGGCCCGGAGAAAATCAATTCAAGGATTTCCCAAACTGCAGCACTGGAACAAATGAGCACTACCCGCAACTTTCTAACCTCCATGCAAACATAAAATACGCCTTCTAAGGGACACAGAAGGGAGAAGAACCTGCTAAGAAAGTGTGATTCACATCTACCACAAATCATATTTCAAAGAACTAAATGAGACTGGGGAACTGTTGTTCAAGTGCTGGTAGGGAAAAAAGCCAACAATATCAAAACAAGACCTCACTGAGAAGTTAATAAGAAATGTACATAAATGCAGTTACATAAGCAAAAAACAGAGATTTTCAATGGATAGGTAGAAAAGCAGCTACACATACTGAATCAAACAAAGAATTATTGGAAGAACTGGGTAAAACTTCCTAATATGGAAATGAGGTAATAACAAATAGATACACAGTTGAAAACCAAACTCTAATCAAGGAACACAATGGAGTTTCTAATTTGTATGACTTCATTTTATAACGTCATTCAATAGTTTCCCAAACCAAGTGCCTTTCTTGTGAAGATTACTACTGTCAGAGTTTTCCACTGCTCAAGGTTCAGCAGGGGAAACAAGGGGGAGTGACGTGCGCGTCCCCAGAAGGCAGCATAGGGACGCGCACCACCAAGTCTACATTTTATGCAGAGTACCATTTCTCTGTACACTCAGTGACATCACCGCCCAGCTCATACGTGGCCCCTGGTGACAGAGCACATCTCTTCTCCGCACCTCATCACTGACCGGCTGGTGTCACAAATCTACGCCTGGTTCTGCTTGGGGTCACTTTGTTAATGCTCTGTTCGTTACTTTAACAAACTATCAGGAGAATATGCTTGGAACAGGCAAGCATTATCTCTCAACTTTCATTTAATTAAACTCTGCTATTGCAATATGACAGTCAGCACATCATAGGGGGAATTATTTTAACGATGAAGGTAAAAAGTATTTCAAAGCCCCCACTTAAACACGCAAGTATAATCTAAAATTGCCCGAGCACACACTATAATTTTTCTATAATATTAAAGATGTTACTTCCAGACTTGGTAATTAATTGGATTCCATGGAGAAATTAGGCCAGCATCCTTGATAGCAAAACGATGCACAAGGCAGGGAACAGGGTGCCAAAGGACAGCCATAAACAACCACGCTGTCGCCCAGATTATGACAATCACCTGGCTTAATAAGGAGTGAGAGCTGCTCGCTTCTGCTGCTCACTCATTACTTCCTGCAAAGTGACTGCGCTGAATTCTGATGATATCGTCTTCATAAAAGGAACGGGAGCAGCTCCGGCTCCAGCGGCCTGCCTCAGGAGATGCACAGCACTGCCCTAGGCCAGCCAGGGCCCACGGGCTGGACGAGGACGGCATCCTGTCCAGCTGAGGGCCGGGGGCAAGTCCCCAAGCCTTCCACCACCTTCTCCCCCACCCCTCAGGGAAAGGGGTGCCCAGAAGCTGCCTTACCGTCGATCCGGCTCACGAGCTCTTCCAACATTTTCACCTTCATCTGAATCCCAGGTTGGGCAAAGGTGTAGTTGTCCTAAGGAAAAAATAACAACGAATATCACATGCAGAGAAAATAAAACACATTTTCCAAAGGGGAAAAAAAGCAGTCGGGCAAAGAGAAACATCTTATAATAGAATGAATTCGCAAACTGTGATATGCATGCTGCATTAGGCTGCGTTACACCGCAACGTGCAACACCATCGAGTCTTACTTTGAGGAGGTGAAGTCCAACATTTCCCAACGTCAGGGAATATTTAATGGAGCATTTCTATATGTAAATGTAAGATATTTACATTTAAATTGAACCAGTGGGCAAAGGGGCTGCCTGGCCAGTACACACAGGCCGTGAGCACTCAGCATTGCTGGGGGAGCTGATGCGAAATGGTGACCATGCCCCGTGCTGACCATGCTGACCGTGCCGACATCATGTCGACAACCCAAGTACCAATGGCATGGTCAATGCTTGACGAAAGAGGGAACATGTGACACTACTCTCAGTGAACGCAGGTGAAGAAGTTCATAAACTAAGATAAGAAAACCAGTGTAGGCATCAGGAGAAAAGTCTTAAGTGAGACACACCTGCAATGAGAGCCCAGCTCTATTACTTAGCAGCTGTGTGACCTCAGCAAGTTACATGACCTCTCTGGGCTTCAGTGTCATCATCTATAAAATGAGAATAACAACCTGCCTTCTAAGGCTGCCCCGAGGAGTCAAGGGAGCCATGTCAGTGGAGGATGTCAGAGGGTTCAGGATGCAGCAGGTATTCAGGAACAGTAGGCCCTGACTACCAGTCACCGCCTGAGAGAGCACAGATCAGCCGGAGAGGAAAGCTGGCCTGCCGGGGGGCTTCCCCACAGAACTGCCCAGCGCTCAGGAACCACTGTCAGAACGAGGGTGTCAGCTGGACTCACACAGTGACAGACTTACACTCGTTGATGAACACAGAAGGCAGAATAATACCCCCCAAAGACGTCCATGGCCTGAGTCCTGGAACCCGGCAGAGGGAAGAAAGGCGGCTGATCCACTAAGACAGGGAGACTCTCCTGGGCCATCCAGGGGCCCAGTGTAATCACAGAGCCCTTCAAAGTGGAAGAGGAGGCGGGAGAGTCAGGGTCAGAGGGCTGCGATGTGAGAAAGCCTCCACCCCCCAGCGCTGGCTTCAAAGGTGGAAGAAGGGGCCATGAGCTGAGCGATGCAGGCAGGAAAAGGCAGGGGGCAAACCCTCCCCTGGAGCCTCCAGAAGGGGCGTGGCCCTGCCCACACCTTAATTAGCTGCACGAGACGCACATCAGATTTCTGACCTCCAGAGCCGTGAGATAATAAATCCATGTTGTTTTAAGCCACTAAGTCTATGGTGATTTGCTACAGCAGTGAGGGAGAGCAGAATACACCACCCCAAGATGTGCCACTTCGGCATGTGGATCATTTCAAGCTGAAGACGATCAAGGCCCAACTGGCTCTGGAAGAGCTGTTTTCCTTCCCTGAACTCCTTACAAGAATTGAGGGATAGGGCCCGTACTGGAGAGAGCTAACAAGAAAGATAACTTCCTGTAACAGAAAGACCTCTGCACAGCAGGGCAAACATCTCTTTCCCAAATGCCTGCTGTTCTCATCCTCCTGGAGCTGTCTTCCTCCCCTTGAGCCCCAGACCCCGCCTCCTTCTCCTCAGCTCAGGATGGCATCTAAGTCTCAAGGGCCTGATTATCTTAGGGCCTCATGTCTTTGGGGCTCCCATACGTATAAAATTTGTTTTTCTCCTGCTTATCTGTCTCACGTCAATTTAATTATTGACTAGCCAAAGACCCTAGAAGGGTCAAGTTTTGCAGCCCTACAGCAGCAAGAGGAAACTAACACAGGAGGTTTGGGAGGCGTCCTTTATCAGGGCCCCTAAGACCCACTGAAAACTAAAAAGACGAGAAGAGAGCCTGGAGCAGCCAAGCCTGCGGCCCTGGGCCTGTGGATCCTCGACTCTACTGAGCACTTGGGCCTCGGGCCCTGGTGGTTCCTGTGGGCTTGTGCTAGAAGAAGAGAGCCAGTCCTCAGGGAGCGACCCTGGGGGGTCACACAGCTTTGGCAAGGGGAGCGAGGCCGCTGGCCTCAGTAAGGTGTGGGGGAGGCATGGGGCTCAGGCAGCTGCAGCCCCTTGGGAGGGCTCAGGCCCGGCCAAGGCAAGTGTGCAGCCACACAGGCAGAGCTTCCTGGCCTTGGAGACGGTGGGAGGAAGCTCCCGATGCTGTCACACTGAGAAGATGTCTGCAGGGACCACGGGCATGAGGGGTGCTGGCTTCCCACTTCTCACTCTGCATTCGGGGCCCAGGAGGGAAGCGGAGGGGCAGATCTGGACTTGCCATGAGCAATGCTTAGAGAACTACCTCCCCAGAGCTGTTCCCTGTGCTCGGAGGGGACGGCCCACAGACCCTGGAGAATCCAAACCTAGCGAGGGACGAAGAAGCACATCCACAGGTCTCCACCCTCTGGAGGCTCTGGGCACATGGCCATGGCACTCACAGGGCCTCCAGCTCAGAATCTACGATGGGGATTTTCCAGGTGAAGCTGAGAGGACGACCTTCAAGCCAGCGGCAGTCTCTAAGGCTGAGGAGCCTTAGAAAAGTACTTGACCCTCTCTGGCACAGTCAGCACTCTCTCTGTGTTTAACATGTGAGCACACATGAGCACACACATGTGCATACACATACACAACATTTCCTAACTAGAGCGGGAGCAGCAGGCACTGTGGCACAGAACTAAAAATGTCTACAAGGCATCAAGGGCTTTTTTCCCCCAGAAATGGAAAATGAGCAGAGTCAGACTTAACCTCTTACAGGGAGATTTCTCCCAAGTGGATTTTGAGTGACAGGCTCTGGATTCCAAATTGTCACATCTCTGCGAGGGCAAAACCAAGAAGTGCTCCATGCGCCCGGCTTCACTCAGAGCCACGCCAAGGCTCCTCTGTGATCCGTGGAGCACGAAGGACAGGCTCTCCCGGGACGACTGCCACGGGGGCCTGGGCATGATCTGTCTTCCAGATCTGGTGACAAGCTTGTGGGCCCTGCTAAACTTTGAACTCTTGAGAAGTGAGGGCTGTCAGAGCCTCGAGTTTAACGGACAGGACTCTAGGCCCTGCAGGCACCATCCGTGTCCCAGTGGGACCCCGGGTGCCCCTCTAGCTGAGACAAAGCAGCGGCACAAGTTAGGGACAAATTGTGAGCTTTAACGCATTTGAACTTTAACAGGGAAGAGAAATCTTGGTTTTGGACTTGAACTAGCAAAAGTTAGCCTTTAAGACTTAACTTCTCCCTGGAAATTGGAGAACCGAAGGAGACTTATATTCAAATTTGGTGCATACTGTGTTGTTGGAAGTTTTTACACTGCCATTTAACCTCACGGCAGAATTTCTGATGAGCCAGGTTGAACGATCTAGCTGGATATAATTAAGGATGAGAAATAAACTGAGAGTGATTTTGCAGCCTTGGGTAGAGGCCTTGTGGATCATTTAATTAATGTTCAATTCAGAGCCATGGGAGCACAGTCTCACACCCTCCCCCAGTGGTCCCAGGAGAATACTCACTCCTGATGGACTGTGCACCTCCTCCTCTCCCTCTCCAAAGGAGGCCACGCCCCAGCTGACCAGGGACCTAATGGTTATGTAAACAACCAGCTAAAGAGCCAGGAGGCAACACTCTCCCAAACCTGGGGTCTGCTTCCAAGTGGAGGGAACTCAGCTGGTGCCACTCTTGCACTTTATCCCCAGAAATACTCACACCAAGAAGACAACTTATCAATTGCCAAACCTGGGACAATCAACAGCCTGTGACTTCAACCCTCCTTCCACCTCTCAGAGTCAGCTGATCACCTGGGGAAGGCTGTTCCCCCAGGAAGGCTGCTCCCACTAAGGCTCTGCTGCACACAAGGGTGGCCCGCCCTGGCCCAGCACTAGCTCTGACAGGGTGGATGAGCCTGAATAATCCTGGGATTCAGTCAGCCAGTTTATTTGGCTCTCACACTAAGATAGGATTCCAAGCCTCTCATTTAGAAGAAATAAAAGGTATTCTTTGGTCTCCATCTGCCACTATGTTGTTTTATTTCTCAATTTGTTCAAAACTCAGGTAGGGACGATGGGTTCTCTCGGAAATCCAAACAATGAGAAACGAATGACACCTGAGAGCCTAAAAGAAAAAAGACCTGTATTTTCAAAGAGCTCAAAAAGATTGACGGGTATGGCACTGGCATTCTGGATTTAGGTCGGGGGCAGAGAAGACCAGCCTTCACAGGGGCTCCAACCCAGACGACTAGATGTGGCTCAGAGTCCAGGCTGCAGACGACCCTGCTCAGCAGCCGGGAAGCCTTTGAAGGACACGCCAAGGACATTCCATAGCCAGAGGCTGAGTGAGAAAGTGTGAGGGGAAAAGCACACTCTGTGGCCCCAGCAACAGCCTCTCTGGAGCGGCACTTGGCACTCAGGCCCTCCCGGGTGCCTGCTGCCCAGCCAGGCTCCACCAGCACCTCTGATCAGATCAGCGGTTCCGTCCACTTAAGGCTGGGAAACAAGATTTACCTCCGGGACACCACCCCCAGCACCCATCCAAACACGCACCTGCACACACACCTGGGACAGAAAACATCTGCCGAATGAACATATGAATGGACAGGCCAGACAGGAATTAAGGGAGAACACTCTACACTTATAGAAATATTGATAGCAATAATACAGTCTGAGGAACACCATGACCTTTGTGAAATGTTTTACAGAAGGTAAAGTCTGTATTAGCAGGAAATATCAAAGAACGCACACTTGGGCCTGCCTTCCATCTACTGCTATTCCAACCTCACGCTCTGGCAAGAACAAACAGCACTTCCTGTGCTCTTCAGAAGAAAAGTACCTCAACAAAAGAATAAAATCTTTGAAGGAGCATTTCAGAGGAGAGTGGAAAAATAAATTCACATCGGCCTAGCTGGAAGGATCCACACCACCCACCCATTAAAACTTCCAGCTCAAGGAGAACGAAGAATCCCTCCTGCACCTTAGACACAGG